TAATTCAATATTTATATGAAAGTAGTTGTTTCAGGAGGGCTTTCCTCCAGTTTGTGTCTGGAAGTTGCTTCTTTTCATAATCTACACATCCATGTATAGAGTTACTTATTATCAAATTGATTACTTCCTTCCTTTCTTTGGAAGATACCCACATTTTTTTGTATCAAGATGAAGTAGTAGAAAGCCAAAAACTTTCTTTCCCAAATTATATGAATAATATCTTAAATTGGAGTTTGAAGAACACATTTTACTTCAATCTTAATAAATGTTCAGTCATCTCAATAATTCGCATAACGGAACCAGTCATATTCAGTTATGAGATTGATTGTGTGGTTCTTGAAAGAAAAACTGATACCGAAGATTTGGTATCATATACGAGATGTTATGAAATCTGGTAGTCGGACGTTGGATTTTGTAATCAGACAAACTTCTTCATTCTCTAATATAGACATTATTAAATCACTTTATTTTTAGTTGGTAAGACCGAAATTGGAGTATTTGTTTGCGGTATACCAAACCGATATGAAAGAAGTAAAGAAAATACAGATCAAATTCTTGAGATATTTATTTTTTGATCGATATCACAAATGGCCAAACTATAACTCAACAAGGTCTATTATTTTACCATTTCACGTACCCCCTCGTCGCACCCGATTTTCGCTCATGATCAATATTCAAACCGTAAGTACCGCAACGAAAGTACCACTAATATTTCTACTGAAGTTAGTTAATCGTTTGAATATATCAATAGATCTTGACTGGAAACTTTCCCAATCAGTATTCTGCAAAAAAAATTTGAACATATGTTAAATTTACCTAGGCAGTATATCCCTATACATATCCGGTACATATTTTACTATTTTTACTAATTTTATACTTTTATTTTTTTTATTGATGTAATTAGGCTGTAATAGCTTGTTTGGATAAGAAATAAATAAATATTCTGTAGTGCAGGCACTATCATGAAAGATTTGAGAAAAATCTGGAAATACACCGTGAATTACTTGAATTTAATAACAGATCCAATTCAGAAATTGATACCATTAACTCCACACGAATAAGTGGCAAACCCCAAAATAATATGTAGGATTGATTATAGGATTGATTCCAATTGAGTGAAGGAGTTCAACTGACTCTCTATTACAAACCAGGAGGGTTTATTGTGACTCATATACCCAGCGAAGTTACCAGCAATCAAAGTATTATGATGAATTTACTCACCACAAATCCTGCATTGATGACTGCACTGAACATTGAGGCAAAAAAACTTCTTACCTTAATTTGGGCATCTCGATGCAAAAAGATCGCAAAATTTCAATAAATATACGGTGATATATTTTAATTTATAATTTGGGATGTAGACCAATCGAAATTATTTTGTAAGAATGAACGACAAATACCTCGACATGCAAGTGGTTCCGGTTCAGTCTTGTAACCCCAATCTACTTCTTCATTTGTCCCAAAAGCCATAACCATGCTGGGTATTTGCATGACAGTTGGTTCTTCAATTCCTGCTTCAATTACCAACACCTAAGTATAATGAAAAACATTCATCTGGGAGTTTTATTAGACGAAATGAACCTACAATCAACATCGGCATTATTGTTGAGAAAAATCAAAATATCCCTTCAATCTATTTGAAAAAAAATACTTTTCTCCGTTAATCAGCTGTCGACCCTTTACGAACGACAACCCTCAAAGTTCTAAACTTGTGCGAGCTAAGAAGTAACGAGGTCTCACCTTTCAATGTGCGATTCTGAGCACAACTCGAGTACATCTTTATTGGTCGTGTTATCTAGAGGTGACTGACTGGCTAATTTTTTAAGAAAATCATAAGTATTATCTACTGTAACTAATACTTCTTGATAGTTCTCCAGCAAGAATTTGCCAGATTAGGAAAGTTCGGATTGCTGAATGTTTTCAATTTTATTCAGAAGCAGCTATTTTCTTGATAACTACAAGTCTGTGTGGAAGAAAATACTTGAAAAACAAAATAACTTTTTTATCTGAATTTTCAAAACTGTGAAAAATATTGGGTACAATACAATTAAAATCTCAGTAAATTCTTATTCAATTGAATGGAAACAAGCGACATTTGAATCAGTGCACATTTGCCAACGTAACACAAGTCGAATAATTCCGTCGGCATGAAAAATATATGCTCCGGATTCGATGAAGCTTACGAAGGACGTTTTGCCTGGTCCTGATTGGAGAATTGGCGAAGGTTCTACAGGTGATAAATTCATCGAAGTGCTTGAAAAATTTGTAGTTGGTTGACCATAGGGCATAACTTCGACAGTCAATTCGTTTAACTTCAGGACAATGATTTGTGAAACATGCGGACTGGCGTTGTCGTGGTGGATGATCGGAACCCTTCTGTTGACCAGTACCGGTTGCTGTTAACTGGGATAAATTCAAATTTGGAAAAAACATCATCAATGGATAGAGTACAAAAGTCTCTATCGATCAGTATATACCACGACACAGTAGAATAAATATTCATTGTGATATAGAGCTACAAAAACACATAACATCAAAATGGACAAAACTTTCAAAACAATACTATAATATCATAATGAAATGCCAGTAGCACATTTATTTATTTATTTACAGCTTTGGCAACTCAACAGAACAAAAGTTCCAATTATATAGTCGCACAGAAATTACACCATTCATCATTACATTCAAAGAGTTGGGCTAGATCAAACTAAAGATAATTAGGGTAATTCCGGAGGAGACGGCCGTACGGGAGAGATGGCCAATAGAGAAAAGTTCAAATAATAATCAATAGATTTCACTAGTCATCGTTCAGTTCGGTTCGCATCGGCACAGGTAACAACTGTCAGTGGATTTTTTGTCGAAAAAATAATGAAACGGTGAGTGATTTCACTTTGTTTTTTTATTATGCATGCGAGTTAAGTACTGGGGTTAACATATTAAGTGATCACAAAAAGATTTTGAAAGTTATGTCGGTTTTCGTGCTTTGCCAGTGAAGTAATAAATTTCTCCTATGTTCTAACCTCAAAATTACATACTAACTTGAGAAATGTCTTTAATTACCTAATGTGGCCATCGCATCCAGACAATTAGTAGAGATAGCCATAGTATTTACGGGAGAGATAGCAATAAAATTGTATATCCTATTTTTGGTTCATTTTTAATCTTCAACATTTTCTACAGCTGCCGAACCAGTACGTATGGAAGGTGGCTGCTGGTCGAGGTGAATGAAGCGAAGAAGATTCAAAAAATGCTATGGAAGAAGTACAAAATCGAGGGATGACGATTTATAGGGCCTCTTTAATCTACAAAATACCAAGAAAAGCACTTGAAAGAAGGTTAAAACTAAGGTTAAGACTAAAGGACCTATGGGACCGTCATCTACTTTCGGTACAGATAATGAAAAAAAAAACTGAGTAAGCATATAAAAGACATGCAGTCAAGAGGCTTTCCTTCGACTATAAATGATTTAAGAATAATTGCATTCAAGTTTGCTGAGCAATTAGGAATTAAACATAAATTCTGTAAAACATCTGAATGATTGGATGAAAATGTTTCCGAAAATGAATTCCGATATTTTATTGGGGAAATNGGAATATCATTATACGAATTGTTCTTTTAATAACTGTGTGTTCAATAAATAATTTTGTTCGAATTGCAAAAAATTTTCTCACCGAATATCCCTCGAACATTGATAAATAACTCATAATTTTATCACAACTTCCTCAAGCACGTTATTTTAGGTAACATCCCTCCGCCTTCGGCGTCGGGATGTTACCAAATAACGTGCTTTCGAAAACTGTGATAAAATTATTTCGTTAGTTATCAATGTCATTGGGATATTATAGCTGATAATGACCTAATGAATAAACCAGGCCATATTTACAACATGGACGAGTCCGGGTTGCAGTTAAATAATCGACCAGGTCATGTTTTGGCTAAAAAAGGTTCCAAGGCTGTGGCTATATCAACCGCTACAGAAAAAGGAGAAACGATAAAGGTAATTGGTTGTTGTAATGTTGAGGGTAATTTTATGCCTCCGGCGTACATAATGGAATGGATGAAATCGCATTTCTTGCCTCGAAAACCAGATGACAAAGTGTCCTTTTTGCTGGATGGTCATTCTACACACTGCAATGCAGTTGAAATGCTGGAGAGTTTGCTAATGATAATGATATCATTTTACTCACAATGCCGTCACACATATCCCATTACCTTCAGCCGCTGGAAGTTGCTCTTTTCAAATCTCTCAAAACTTACTCCTATGAATCCTGCAGGTTATGGATGAAACAGCACCCTGGTCGTCGTCTAATAAGACAACAATTTGGCTCCTTATTATACCAAGCCTGGAGAGAATCAGCGACAAGTGGGAATGCATCATTACATCAGGATTTAGGACAGCAGGAGGTTTCCCTCTAAATCCGGAGTACGCCTATAGTGAGAACATTGAGCAACCCGTTGAGAGAAATATCGGACATGCAGCGCAGGCCCAATCAGTTTCAGATCCAGGATCAAGTACATACATTCAGACTGTGTATCAACCAACACCAACAAGAGTACTTAACCAAGTGTCTCCACTGCCTGTAAAACAACACGAAGTTCGCAAACGAGCGAAACAAGAAAGCATTCTTTTGACATCTGAAGAGCATATTGAAAAATGGAATATGAAAGAAAATGAAAAAGAAAATAGGAAACAAATAAAAATAAACACTAAGACTGAGGAAAAAAAGACTGTTAGGAAACGAGAGGTAATTCGTAGGTTGTCTGATATCAGCTGCGAAGAAATTTCCATCGTTTTCAGTGATACCTCTGAAAGTGAAACTGAAGACAGAGAGAAAGATAACTGCAGAGGTTGTGGTGATAATTATTACAAGACACAACTGATAGAAGATTGGATACAATGCAATATTTGCATGTTCTGGATGCATGAAAATTGCACCAAGTTTTTCGAATGAATTTTTACCTTCAAATATCTCACCATTTGTAGGATAATGAAGTGAAGTTTCGGTGTTTTCGTTAAAAAACTTTAGAGATTAATTGAAAACTTCTACGTGAAATGATAGTGTTGAATCTAAGAAAAAATAGACCTTATTTAAATTATACATTAATTGTTCATATGGTTTTTCATTCATAATATTTTTTGTCTTGAAGAGAGAACTATAACAGTTGGTTCATACAAAGTATTTTACAACAGGATCAAAATATAAAGTTTTATTCAGTGCAATGAAAGCCTCGTCAAAAAACCCTTCAACGCAATTTGAATGTCAGGTTAGGTGTGTTTTTTTAAATGTTCCTCATTTCTTTCGAAGCTGGAATTAATGTCAACAGTATTCATGCTAATAATTTTTCACAATACATAGTAATTTCCTCATTCTGACTAGTTAGACACACGTTTAACTAAATAAAGTACTGCTACAGTGAGAAGCATATAGGAAATAAATTATTAACATGAGTAGTGTTATTGATTTTCACCACGTACGGGTCAGTGTATTCGTAATAAGATCAACAGCTCCTCCTAGGTGCATGTTGTTTTCAGTATCATTTGTAATTTCTGTTATTTGCTTTTGGTTGTTCTATAATCTGCTGTGATTTGGTACTACTTGTTTCTACTTGCCAAGGTATCATCAGTTATACTAGGCTGCAACCTAGGCTGCACCACGAATTCATTACTGAATGCTCTGAAAGTAAAATTTCACCACATGATTAGTGTGTACAGAAACTAGAATTTTGTCCATTAACACCCGCTCACTTCCGTGCAGTTCTCAACCTGAAGCTTAACACCGATATTATATTTCAATTTAACCTTTTTGGGTGCTCCGACTTCTCGTTGTCTGTTGCTGTTTGGTTTCCTGATTCTACTGTGTGTAGTATTTGCATGATATTTCCTTGTGCCTGGCTGGTGTCGGAATTACTGAATAACCGCTAAAGAATGAGCCAGAGTAAGTGAAGGCGATAATAGCCGTCTTTTTTTCACAACATGCGAGTCACTCTTCTTCATGACACTTATTCCAAAGATATTGTGCCCCGTACTAGTTTGAACAAGTACCTTGTTGAATGTATGTCATATTCTCCTGGATATAAATTGTGTTTCCCAGTCCTTCATAGGACGAGCTGTCTGTGTCCCTTCGTTGCATCGCCTGCCGTTAAGGTCTTCATTGTATAGCCCTATTTTGTTCAGGTGCACTTTCAATGGAAAGTGTCCAGTGAACAACCATGTAATTGGTATGAGCTGATCTCTGCTTTGTTGAAATAGTTATTCTTTTCTCGGAAGATTCCTTCATAAAGGTTTCCCGTGTGTTCTCGGGTATGTTTTCCCAGTACACTATATGTTTGTTACAGACCCGCTCGCCAATATGGTTTCGTACCAAAGACTTTGGTAACCCCACAGCTGGTTCATGGCCTTTATATGAAGATGATGATCCTTATCATCTTTATCATCTTTTTCGTTGCCTACGATGCTCGAGTGTCCTGGGACTCAGTTTATGGTATTTCCATCCGCCAGTTTCCTCAGTTCTTGACGGCATTCCCAGACCAGTCTGGATGGCACCTTTGTGTTTGTCATTGCACCAAATGCAGCCTGGCTGTCTTGGTTGGTGATCCGAAAGGTCTCTACAAAGCAACTAATTACCTTGTGACAGATGACGAATCTCGTTCCGTGGTCATGGCATGCATCATGGTTCAGCCTAGCACCACTGTTGAGATCTTGGTGGGTAGAAACAGCGCTGTCTGGTGTAGGATCAGGAATGCTTTTATTTTGGGCTCTGGTTTCGTCCAGTGATTTGCAGTGAAACACAGAGAACGAATTTCATTCGGCGATCGGGATCAAAGCTTGACTTTGCAAAGGATTGTCTTGGGGAGCCTCGTTTATCTCTGATATTCATCAATTAAGTCTTTTGTCAATCTCGTAGATGATGTTATCGAAAGGAGAGATACCGTCACCGTTCACTTAGTGTTTCTGATTATGGATTTACTGATTTTGTTCTTATGAAAACATGTTGCGAAATCTGGAAATACATAGTAATGACTATTTTTTCAAATATGAAGAAATATATATTAAACTACGAGTTATGTAGAGAAAGCAATATCAAGATATGATGTGAAAAAAAATTTAGGGGAAAGTAAAGGGCACATCAATTATTGTATGTCCTATTTGAACAAATTCCAATTTGTTAGTATCCACGACCATAATAGTTTTTCAGAAGATATGACTTGATATATGAATATAATAACTTGAAGAACCTTTTATCATTTTCAAAACAATGTATTTGTGATAAAGATGATACACATGTATATTCAAACATGGTCTTGTTGTTTTTCATACATTCGAGCTATCACCCCAAATATCTCTTAAATTATATAGAATATCAAGATAGAGCAACATGTAAGAATGTATGAACAAAAAATCTGTTTCAGGAAAAGTAGTCATTGACGCTATAAAAATTTGGATGAGTTTGAATAGTCAGGACCTGAAAAAAGTAACACAGTTGGTCATGACTGAACTTCAGAAATACACTAGAGAAAAAATTCGAGACTATAATGAAAGTTTCACGCCATGTTATATCATGAAAAAAGCGTTTCATGATATGGATCCATATCGGTTTCCTTCTTGACTGTTTTTTTGGAATCAGAAAAATTATAGAAAAATTACATAATTTTCTTTAACTTACCTTTCCTCTCCTACTTTCAGCTAATCTTCCTGCAACCGTAGATCCCCCACTTCCGCCTCCAACAACAATATAGTCGTACTCCAGGTCTGGTAAAGTTATCGGATCTACTCTACGACAGGGATCATTCAAGTCGCACATGCTTCTGATGATAGCATCCACCAAAGACATGAAGAATACATAGTAATGACTATTTTTTCAAATATGAAGAAATATATATTAAACTACGAGTTATGTAGAGAAAGCAATATCAAGATATGATGTGAAAAAATATTCAGGGGAAAGAAAAGGGCACGTCAATTATTGTATGTCCTATTTGAACAAATTCCAATTTGTTAGTATCCACGACTATAACCGTTTTTCAGAAGATATCACTTGATATATGAATATAATAACTTGAAGAACCTTTTATCATTTTCATAACAATGTATTTGTGATAGAGATGATTCACATGTATATTCAAACATGGTCTTGTTGTTTTTCATACATTTGAGCTATCACCCCAAATATCTCTTAAATTCTATAGAATATCAAGATAGAGCAACATGTAAGAATGTATGAAAAAAAAAACTGTTTCAGGAAAAGTAGTCATTGACGCTATAAAAATTTGAATCAGTTCAAATAGTCAGGAACTGAAAAAAGTAACACAGTTGGTCATGACTGAACTTCAGAAATACACTAGGGAAAAAATTTGAGACTATAATAAAAGTTTCACGCCATGTTAAATCATGAAAAAAGCGTTTTATGATATGGATCCATATCGGTTTACTTCTTGACTGTTTTTTTTGGAATCAGAAAAATTATAGAAAAATGACATAATTTTCTTTAACTTACCTTTCCTCTCCTACTTTCAGCTAATCTTCCTGCAACCGTAGATCCCCCACTTCCGCCTCCAACAACAATATAGTCGTACTCCAGGTCTGGTAAAGTTATCGGATCTACTCTACGACAGGGATCATTCAAGTCGCACATGCTTCTGATGATAGCATCCACCAAAGACATGAAGGAAAAAAAACTGCTTCCAGGACAGGCGGTTGTGAAGGAGGGGCCATAGTAGGTAGAGGTCTCACAGCCACATTGCATTTTGACTTCTTTGACAAGACAAACCAGAAACTGAAATAAAAATTATTATTATAATAGCAAAATAATTCCCATTTACGGAATATCGTTTTTCATTGATTGTTCTTTATTCGTGTAATTCAATTGAATTCACAATAAATTCTTGACATTCAAAACCTTTTCTCGTTATTTTTTTCACGCCTATGCCAAGACAGGGGTATTTTTTCTCACCTCTACGGGAGAAAAATTCGAAGAGGATTGAATGTGCTTGTGCTCGTATGATAAAGTAATGAGAGATCTCTCGAAACTGAAAAAAACCAAATAAGAAGCTGGCCGGCCAAACGAAAGAAGAATTGAACTCTTGTCTTGGTTGAAAAATACATTGAATTACAGTCCATTTACCACTTACACATACATTGATTATAATTCAATACTTACAAGTAGATACTCGTCACTTTCTTAACCTGCCAAAGTATGTGAGTAAAACCTCGACACGTGTTTCAATAACCAAGTTGGAGAAATATAAAACTTCAAGAGGAAGATTAAAAAGTTCAAACATCAAGAGGAAGATCAAAAAGATTAATCTTTCTCTTGAAGATAATCACTTGGTGATTGAAACTCATATCGAGGTGTTAAAAATAACGGTTTAGTGTTGTGACTGAACTCCAGTAATATTCATTAGTACACCAAAGGTTCCGAACAGTGCATCACAAGTATAATTCTCTATTCCGAGCAGAACTTATTTTGTTCGTTTTTGAAAATATTCAGTCATTATCGTTTCATTTTAAGATTTTCTGTTTGTTTATCTCAATATATCAATTTCTTTCACTAGTTCGGACTTCCATTGTCTATTATATAAAATGATTTGAAATCCCTGAAACAAGTAAAAAAGAATAATTAAAAAAGAATAGTTGAAAATAACAATTATATTAAGCAACAATAAACCTGAAATGAAATGATAGTAAAATAACCTACAAGTAAAAATATAATAATTGAATAAATAAAAATTAAAGGAATGCAAAAAGAAAATAATAAAAA